CATTTCTTTTCTTCCCCATCCTTTTTCCTTCCTCCCTTCTCTCTTCCTTATCTTCTTCTCTTGAAGTGCCCGCTCAGAAGATGCGATGAGAAAATACTTCTAGACCTTTGCAGCGAGAGAATATCCGGTTGCCGGAAGCCTGTACCACACTTTTGGTTTACCCACCCAGCACTTCAGATTGGCTCACCCACCCAGGAGTTCCTTCCACATTGACGTCTACCCAGGAATCCTCACCTCGATTACAATCCTAGTTCTATACGAGGAGTCTCTGAATTGCCTTCTCCAATGTTATTTATTAACGCCAGTTTGAATACTCTCCAAAACGGTTCTTAAAAAACCTCGGTTGATTGACGGGTCCCTGCACGAGTGCAACTTTTTCGCAATGCCACGATCAAAGAGATCTTCGAGGACTAAATTTCGAGAAATAGAAAGCTGAGTTTCTCGTGCTGTGGTCGAGGGATCCAGTCCCTCTAACGACGGACCGTGTTTAGGTCTGCCGAGTGGTCATGACCTCCTTAGAATGGTCTGCAAAAGAATGAGGCAAGTTTGGAAAATAAACGAGACTACTGTTTACAATACAATTAGGATCTTCGCGACTTATTCTTGAAATTGCTGTCGGGGAACTGAGTGTGAAGTTGGATGTTAACATGACGGTTGGGGGGGGGGCGTTGTATTGCACGACCATTTTTCATCGAAAACCGATCCTTCGACTGCTAAGGAGCAGAGAACATTACGAGGATATGGTGAAAGTTTCCTCACAACGACCCCTCCCTCTTCCTAGCAATCAAAATCGGTCTCGCTGCTGATTCCACAATGATGACATACGCTATCTTGAGAGCATGGAGCCCAAGAACTCTATTATTCAAAGGGTGCCCGTTATCTCGAGTGGAGCCATTCTGGGGTCTTTTTGAGCAAAACTGTGATTATTGTCATGGGAATAAATTTACCGCCACGGCACGTCCCGCCGTTGCGAAAAAAACTTTTCAGAATACGACTCCCCTCAAAGTTCATCTGCTACGGACTCTTCTCCCACCCTCATTCTACCTACCATCTTTCCGAATTCCTCCGAATTGCTAGCACTTTTCCGGTTTTTTTTCGGATTTAACCACTTTTCCCCGGAGGCCTGTCTCAGCGGAGGGAGCGGGGGGCACTCTTAGGCGGATACGACCACTTCCTCCCTGCAGCGACTAAATACGACCCTCTTCGCAGAGGATTCCCAATGTGCGATCGCTCTACCGCACCTAGGCACGGTGTACAACCACTTGAAAGTTGGCTTGGTACT